TGTGCTAACATTAGATGCACTTCTACATACTTACGCATTGGGAATGCTTCACTTCTTAAGAGTTGACACCAAACATAACATTCAGCGCCTCTTGATTAAAGAATGCTTTAAATACTGCAATCGCCATAACTGCAATCTATCGTCTGAAAATCATTACGATTGTAGTCTTTACTACGCAGTGTGGCTGACTAGCCCAGAATAGGCCTTCGGAAGCGTGGCCGTAAGAGCCAATCCCATGTCCCGCGTGGTCACGGATGGTTGCGCATTTGCGCACAGCCAAAGTGTCCAATCAGAAAGGGAAAGTTCCCCATTTTAAGAGCAATACTACTAACCTCACTCCGTGATCTGTAGTATTAGATAAACAATTAAAATGTTAGTCTAAAGCCCAACATTTCTTAATGAATTTCAACTAGATCCAATGGTATCATATGGTCACTATATTATGCGAAAGGGTGTATGATGCACCATTGACATTTGTGCCCCGAATGGATCTGCTAGATGTGTGAAATGCGATATTTTGAACAAGTGGGGGATAAGCAGTTGAGTTTGAATGCTATTAACTAATCCCACACCAATCCCTGTCACGGATCGCTGCGCATGTGTGAGCAACTTGGCTGTCCAATCGGGAGGAGGGACAGCCGGACGACCTTTGATCATCCCAGTTCATGTTTCCCTCTTGATGAGGATTTTATTTTTTTTGGCGAACTGATACCAGGCGTTGGTTGCCAGATAATATCAAGTTTAGCTAAAATTGAACATTAATTTGATTCTAGTGTATGGAGTACTTCCTGACTATTGTTGCGTAAACACCAACATTGCCGAAGTTTGGTCTGTGAATGGACTGTAATAGAGCAAAATCCCGACAGCTTAAAAGTACACCAAACATACTAACTGAAGCATTAACACAAATGAGTCATTTAGCCTTGCATAACTGTGTGATACCGTCTACTAAAATTATACTAAGCGGTAAGCTAATAAGTTGGTAAACATTTGCCATTTGAGAGCAAAATTATACTTTTGACCAAAAGTTAGGCGAACTTCTAAGTTTGATTGGAAATATACTAAGAGGTTGGGGCATTCTGAAGCTTTTAACTTGTCACTTTACTTGCAACGGGGAATTTCCTCATGTCAATGGAGGAACAGCGTTCGAAAAATATTGATGAAATTTGCATCCACAAAGCCCCACCGAAAGCACTTTAGCCTCCAAAAGAGTAATTTTGCACTACTTAGCCTCATATTTGGGTGAATGGATCAAATCGGCATAGATAAGCAATAGTAATGGTAGGAGGGCAGTAGATGAGCTCAATTTCAGGTGAGCGCTATTGGTCAGTGGAATTGAGCGTTGATTGGTGTAGCTCTCCCACACGCGCATGCGCCTCTGCGTGCATGGCGAGGTGTCAGTGCGCTCGCTTGTGCCCTCCTCCTCCTCCTCCTCCTCCTCCACCCCTACCGCCACTCTTGCCCCCTCCCCGTCTTTGTCGCCACTGTCACCAACTTCCTGAGTGTTCCATTTGACTAAACAGACGTCGTTGAGTATTGCTGTAATGTGTCTGAGTAGCATGAGTCTATGGGATCAGCACCAAGGCCACGAGAGAGCCTCACACCACCACCACCACCAGCAACATCAGCAGACTCAATCCGAATTCGGTGTTTCCGCCTCTGCCTCTGCATCCGCCTCCGCCTCCGCCGACTCTATGTCTGATAGCACAAGCACGAGTACCAACCAAATATCTTGGCAAATGTCCACTTTTAAAGACGCTGCGTACAT